AATTGTCTGTCTTGTCTATCATGTAGTAACAATTGTCTGTCTTGTCTTTCATGTAGTAACAATTGTCTGTCTTGTCTTTCATGTAGTAATAATTGTCTGTCTTGTCTTTCATGTAGTAACAATTGTCTGTCTTGGAGCATTGCATGAATTAACCTATGTGATCATAACTGCTAAGATCAATCTGACATTTTCCTTCTTGTAACTGAACTTTATTTTCTTTGATGTACAGGAGCATGAGGATTTATACCAGAGATCATCTCCCATGACAGAAGACACATTCAAACAGTTGAACCGTTATGTACCATTGTGGGTGAAATTTGTAACCAGGACATGCCGCACATTTTTCTGAGCAGAAATTGAAGAAGAATAATACTGCCATGATTTGATATATATATTTTGATCTGAAATACCTTCCTTTGGATGTCAGGTTTTTTTAAAAGTTGGTGCTATAATGCAAGTGTAGATGTAAATATGATGTAAACACAACCATATTCAAGTGCATGTTAAATTTTTAACTTTTAAACAAAGTTCCTTGTAGGATACATTTTCACTGCCAGTGAAACATTAAATACTCGTATGTCAAATTAAGGTAAATTACTATCTATACATGCCTGTTCACAGAACACGGATTAAAGAGACATATCTACATATATTAAATTGCTAAAATAAATTATGATTGTTTCCACTCTTTTAAATGAAATGTAGCAGGAGAGGCCACAAAAGACCTGATCAATTGAGCTCGCCGGTTACTTGAAATTCTGACCAGCTAGATAAGTTCCTTACTTCCTAAATCTTACACCGGTACGCTAACCAGCGTTACACCGGTACGCTAACCAGCGTTACACCGGTACGCTAACCAGCGTAGTACAACTTAACTCAGTAAATCAAGCATACTCATCGTATTTACATTTTTCAGCAACCCCATTTTCACATCAAATTTGTATTTCAATGGTCTATAAATTGATTTCAGTGATTTACATTCCGTATATTGATACTAATTATACACTAGGTGGTATATGGTCAGTGTGTTTGTCTGTCCATAGTAAAAATCTTGTGTACAAGATACTTCATATTTAATAATAATAATAATAATATACAACATTTATATAGCGCCCTATATAATTTTTAAAACTACTCTAAGGCGCTTTACAACATATGGATAATAGTAATGGTTATAATTGTGAAAACAAACAACAAAGGCTTGCAATCACTTTCATATATTTAACAAGCAATGTGCACATAATTGAACAAATAAAAGGGTGTTATTTACATGACGTCTTTGCAAAGATTCTAAAATGCAGACGTGAAGAGGTGAGTTTTAATGTCCCTCTTGAACTTGGCCAGGGTATTTGACTTCCTAATAGCAGATGGTAAGCTATTCCACAACGTAGCCGAAACCCTCCCAAAGCATCTGTTTCCTTAGGACACAGTACGAGATTTTGGGACACACAACAAAGATTCTGACTCCGACCGCGGTGATCTTGACGGCTGATACAGGGTAACAAGTTCCTGTAGGTACTGAGGAGCTGTTCCATTCAGTGCCTTGTATGTGTATACCAGAATTTTGTACTGCGACCTGTATCGTACAGGTAACTAGTGCAACAAATAAAGCGCAGGTGTGATGTGCTCTCTCTTTCGAGTACGAGCAACTAGCCGTGCTGCAGTGTTCTGGACCCTCTGCAGACGACTAGTTAGTTTGTCAGATATACCACAGAGCAGGGCGTTACCATAATCCAACCGAGAGGTAACAAGTGAATGCACCAAAATCTTGCATGCATCTGCAGTTAGAAACTGCCGAATACAGCTGATGTTCCTGATCTGGTAGTAACAGGATTTGGCAATAGCGTTCACTTGTTTCTCCATGTTCAGAGAACTGTCAAAGTATACCCCTAGGTTTTTAACAGCTGGAACAGTCTCAATAGTTCTGGCACCAACCTTGAGCTGGAGAGCCATTGTTTGCTGACTCGTTAGGGAAAAGACGATTAGTTCCGTCTTTTCCTGAAAATTTACACCCTAGTACGGTAATATCAAGTTCTACACTTGATTTGATTTTGGTGGTCATCGGTCAAGTCTAAAGGGTAAAGGTCATGGGGGAAGATCACACTTGACCTCTTTTGAAGCATAGAGCTTGTGTACAAGATATCTCACAAATCCCTTGTTACGAACGAATTCTCACCCCAACATGATTTTCACCCAGGTAAGAAATCATGCTAAAATTGTTGTGTTCGCAACACGATTCTCACCCCAGCATAATTGCTCACCCTGGTGAGAAATCATGCAAAACATATGGGCAGATGTGACACATTTTCTCATCTGGCACAATTTCTCACCCCAGCTCTATATCTCAATTGGGGTATCGTCTGATGTATTTCATCTATGTTTTTGGGGTTTTTTTGGATACATTTTTAGCTCACCTGCCCTAAGGGCAAGTGAGCTTATGTCATGGTGCAGCGTCCGGCGTCCAGTCGTCCTCGTCCGTCAACTTTTCCTTTAAACAACTTCTTCTGAAGAACGGACAGGCCTAGAGTCATGATATTTGGCTGAAAGCTTTGTTGGTGGGAGCCCTACAAAGTTTGAGAACGAAAATGACCTTGACCTACTTCAAAGGTCACAGGGGTCAAATGTGTCAAAAACTTCTTCTGAAGAAGAACTGAGAGGTATAGAATCTTTATATTTGGCTTGTAGCTTCCTAGGGGAGGGGGGAAAGTTTACTATAGTTTATATCGGGAACTAACACTTTTGGGTATATTTTGACAACTTTCTGTAGGAAATTATTTTTACTTGGTGAGAATTATCCTTGAAGGAAGATGGTTTCAAATTGTAAAATTGAGAATCGTACCCCAACCCCTGGGGCCAGGGCGGGGCCCCAAAGGGAAAATTAACCAATATTTCAAAAATCTTCTTCTCCAGACTCAGAGGTACTAGAGTGATTTTCTCTAAGTGGAAAGAAAGATCATCAGGGGTTTTACTTAAATTGTAAATTTCAGGACCCCCGAGCTATCCGTTCTCCCTTGGGGAGGGGGTAAAGTTTACTATAGTTTATATAGGGAAATAACACTTTTGGGTATATTTTGACATCTAAACAATAAAATAAAGCTACCAGTACCTATGATATAACTTAGGTGACCGCTAAGGCCCTTGGGCCTCTTGTTTAATTTCCATTGGAAGTAATTAAATTTAGGTTAGCATTATCAGTATTGGATAGTAGTTTGATGGTATGCACATATAAGCCCTGACTGATCCCCCAGGGATGATGGGTGGGGCCAAAAAGGGTTGAATTGACTGAAATTTCAAAACAAAATCTTCTCAAAGACCCAGATATGGTTGAATCAAACACTCTTCATAGTTCATAGATGGAAGGGTCTTAAGGTTTATGATCTTAGGGTCTCACATGTACCCCCTGGGGAAGGGGGGGGGGGCAAAATTTAGTATGGTTGATAATGGCAAATGATACTTTGAATATTACATGTTAATAACTTGATTGGAATTATAACCCTGAGTTGACAGTTTGATACTTTGAAAATTTTGAGCCAGCCCTACCCCCAAGGGCTGTATGGTGGGGCCCAAAGGAGTCAGTGTGCTACAATTTCTTCATTTTCCTTGTTTAGAATCAAAGGTGCTAGTTTCAAATACTTTTTAGTCTTAAATCTGTATGCTAGATATTGAAAAAGGTGGTTTTATTGTTTTTTGTCACTGAATAATATTTCTGTTCGTGTTAAAAACAAAATCCACTCTCTGTATAAATATATCAGATGACCGTTAAGGCCCATGGGCCTTTTGTTAATTAATTGTGATGAACGATCCATCAGATATGAGGATGTGTACTGAACGCATGAAAAATGTTCTGTTTTACCTGTACATGCATCAAGACAGGTTTTACTGGCATTTTAGTATTAATACACTCTTACCTCACACTCGGTTAGAATATAGGTACTTAACATACAATTTTGTGTCAATACAGTTGTGAAGTGTCCAGTCAGCCACAAACAGTATTTGAATATGGGGACTTAACATTTAGGATGTTGCCAATGCTATCATTTTGTAATCTCATAAAGGTTTTATTTATATTTATGACTTCAATTTATTTTTCTCCGTTTTTCTTTCAGTTATAATTTTTTCATCTGCAACACCTGATAATTTTAACTCACCTGGCCTGAAGGGCAATGTGAGCTTATGCCGTAATGCGTCGTCCGTCCGTCCGTCAGTCAACTTTTTCTTCTGGGGAACTGGAGAACCTAAGTTCATGATATTTGGCCAGTAGATACCTGGGATTGAGTGCTATAAACTTTCCTCATTAAAAAGACCTTGACCTACTTTCAAGGTCACAGGAGTCAAATATGTTAAAACTTTCAAACAACAAGATTCTAAGAGGCATTTGGTCTAGAGTCAGGATACTTTGGTTTGTTATGTAGACCAGCTGTTTGAATCGTTTTCTTTATTCCAATAATGAGGTAAAAAGTCAACTGTAATTGCTTGCGGTAGTCATACTAGTGCGGTAGTGGATACTGTCATCAGTCTTTGTCCCTCGTATGTCGCCTTTTAAATTTTTGACTTAATCTAGTAAGTAATCATTTGCTACTGATTCCCACTAACCTCCATCTTAATAAGTTCAGTAGTTTATTTAGGCTCATTAACATGTAGGGCTGCAGGAAGACATTTCATTTTCAAAAGTAATCTGTACATTGTGTTCACTGACTGAATAATCTGTGCAATGTGTTCACTGTCAAAAATAATCTGAGCAATGTGTTCACTGTCAAAAATAATATGTACAATGTGTTCACTGTCAAAAATAATCTGTCACACTTATTAATAGTATGGTTCTCCTCTCACAATAATATAAAGAATGGTGAGAGAATGAGGGAAATCCCTACCTTTGAGATAGTTAAGAAGATTCATGTTTGTAGACAGTAAGGGAAGGTTCACATTAAGGGTTGATAGTAAGGGAAATCAGTGTAGGTATACCTTCAGTTAACATGCTAAATTGATGTCACTCTTGATGTCATTTTTTTGTCCATTTTGGAACACACCATCTGCCATTCATGTTCCTTTTGAAATGAGATTGTCATATATATATTTGGGATATTATTCGCTCAATTTTGATATTGTAAATACTGTACATACTAATTTATTAATTTTATTGTTCTAGAGTTTTTGGTTACTTGTTGTTATGAGTCTTTGTTTTGTTAAGGTGTTTTTCCTATTTAAGTTGTTTACATGTCATGCTATGAGCAAAGCTTTGAAATGTTATTGTTGTCTTGATCAGAGATAGGTAACAAAATTATCGAACAATTCCTAAAGGTAGGTCCTGGTAACAGCAGAGGGGAAATAAAGGTAATATATAAAACTACTGAATTGTAGGAATGAACATTGTGCCAAGAGCATATCGAAGGGTCTAATAAGTTTAGAAGACATTTTTGTCATTTTTTTTTTTTTAATATAAACTTTATATATTTTTCAACAATAATGAAAAAGTTATTTCAACTTATATTAATCACTCTTGTTGGCCCGGATGTTAGCGCGTGGAGGGGTCTTTGTAT